TTTGTCTCAGTGGGGTTTGCGTGTTGTGGGGTTTCGAATGGCACGTTGGGTGAGTTGGTTGCCGCCAGGAGTATGTGGAGTGGACCTTTGTGGGTGTGTACGTGGGTGTGGTGGTTTTACTTCGTGGACGAAGAGGCGCTGCGGTGCTTGTAGGGGAAAGGTAGCTGAGTGTGGAGTGTGTTGCGTTGTGTTTGGTATGGCATGATACCTTCGTGGAAGTGTTTTTCTTAGCGTTTGAATTTCCGACTAAGCCGGAGCCAGTGTGTTGTGGAGTGTAGCATGTAGCAAGGTTTAACGATATGGCAGGACGGGGCATGTGTTTGTATGATGAAGAGTGGAGAATGGCAGTATACAATTCGATGGGTAGGTGCTGTGTTGTGTTGGGGTATGTTTGCGTGTGACATGTCTTTTGCATGTGTTGACGACGTTGTGTGTAGCTGCACTGGAAGGTAGACGAGTGGTGTATTGTGTTAGTGATACCAGTGTAGATGCGGGGCATACGCCTTGCAGGTTGCGCATACAGTAGGAGGTGTGTATGGAGTGTGTGTGGATACGGGTGTGTGTAGTGGGAGTTGATAGGCGTTGCTGAAGGAATGTTTGTTGCCAGCTAGGTGTTGGATGGATGGGTGTTGGAGTGTGTGGAGTGTTGGGGAAGTTAGTTATTTGCGTTGTGTTTTGGAGATAAGCTTATTTGGTGGTGTTTGAAGTTCCCACTAAACAGCAGAGAGTGTGTTGGTGATTAGCAAGGAGAATGCTGAAGAGCGCCTAGGTGGAGTTCTTGGGTGCATCTGCAAGTGTGGTGTGCGTGTTGCAGAGTTGAGAAGGTTAGTGTGGGTGTGTTGGTTGATTTGACGAGTATCCGCGTTGGAGGTGGGGGGTTGTATGTGGGTGTTGGTGTTTGTTGTAGTGTAGAGGGAGAAGGCAGCGTGCCCCGCGTAGCAGTGAGCTGGCTGAGTGATGCGTGTAGTGCGTGGTGCAAGGGAATGGTGCGACGGTAGGCGAAGGTTGGTTGGAGATATTTAAAGTTTGTGGCTAGTCTGAGAAAGTGTGTTTTGGCGAATAGCAACGCATTGGAAGGATATTTGCGAGTATGTGTTAGTCTGACGATATACATTTTAGAGGCATGAGCAGGTGTTTAATAATGGATTCAGTGTGAGTGTTCTACGATATAGCTTGTTTAGGCGACGTGTAGAGCATGAGTGTGTTTGTGTGAAGGACGTTGGGGTACGAGACTATACGATTGGTTGTGGTGCAAGGGAATGGTGCGACGGTAGGCGAAGGTTGGTTGGAGATATTTAAAGTTTGTGGCTAGTCTGAGAAAGTGTGTTTTGGCGAATAGCAACGCATTGGAAGGATATCTGCGCGTGTGTGTTAGTCTGACGGTATACATTTCGGAGGCGTGAGCAGGTGTTTAATGTTGGATTCATTGTGATTGTTCTACGATATACCGTGTTGAGGAGACGTGTCGAGCATGAGTGTGTTTGTGTGAAGGACGTTGGGGTACGACAGTGTACGATTGGTTGTGGATGATGTGTGATCGGTTTGGTTGAGTCTTGGTATGGCATGTTTTGTGCACGTGTTTCGGCTGTTGATTCTGCTTGCGAGGGAGGTAAGAGGGGTGCAGCATTGGGGTGCTGGGGGAAAGGTACCTGTTGGGCTAAGGTGCTGCAACTCATGCAGACAGTAGGTGTTTTATATTGTGTATGATTGGGTGCATATGTGTTTGGTTGCAGTAGATGCTGGTTGCTTGAGGAATTTTTGTTGCGCAGCTACGCGTTTTGTGGAGTTCTGTATCACTATGGGGAATGGTAGGCAAGTTTGCATTTTGTGTCGTGCTACGGAATGGTAGTTGTTGCGCGTGTGGGTTTAGTTGTAGGCGGGAGTGCATGAGGAGCAGTGTAGTTCATTGGTGAGTGTGCGAGCGGTTGTCTGTTACAATGGGTGGCAGTATGTGGGAGTGAGACTAGCGTGGTGTCTATTGACGAAGGGGAGTATGAATGTGTTGGTTGATGCTACGCACTTGCGTAGAGCAGATATTTATTTGTTTGGTGGAGGTGGGCAATGGTAGTTGTGCGATGGAGTAGGTGCAGGGCGTGTAGCACCGAGGCGGTGGAGTGAGGCCTCTTGTGTGTTGGGTTGGCTATGGTGTGTGAGCGTTGGCAGATTTTGTTTGGGGTGTGTTAGAGGTTGTGACAAAGAAGGAAACAGTGTGTTTAGCGATGCAGAAGGAATGCATTGGAGGTGCGAAACCGCGTGGATCTCTCTGTGTGTGGAGATGATGACAATTGGACATTTTGTTGGGGTGTGTGGGAGTTTGGTATTTGCTTCTTTTCCAGAGTTTTTGGTGTAGGTGGGTTTGGCAATGTGGTGTGCATGGGTATGTGTTTGTGTGAGTGA